CCAGTCCCAGCAGGGCTGGAGTCCAGGAGGGCCGCACTCTGCACCAGCACCAAAAGCACTGCCCGCAGTGGGGCAGCCGCCGTCCCTCCCGCCACCTGTCTGTCAGGATGCCTCCCTCTGTGTGTTTTCGCACCCATCTGAGGAGAGGAGAGTCCCGTGACCCAGACGCCCCAGCCAGGAAGAGCATGAGGCGGGAAGGGGGCTTCACAGATGGAGAGAAACAGGTGGTCTCAGAATGGCTTGGAGATGGGTGCAGCCTGTGTTTCGGAGGTGAGGAAAAGGAGGTGTCTCATGGCTCCAGGCTGCTGATCTGAGCAGCACCGTGGGTCACAGCCCTGCCCACTCAGATGCGGCAGGTGGGTGCCTGGCTGGAAGGAGCTGCGGTCTATCTGGGACATGCCTCCCTGTGGGACATGGAGGGAGCCCCGAGGCCCCAGTTAAAGATCTAGGCAGGTGGGATGGACGTGGTCTGGGTGCCGGGGAGAGAGCATGGGGAACCCAGCACACAGGACCCCAGCCCAGCAGGCAAGGAACAGCGTGTGCTGGGAGGAAAGCCAGGTGGGGTCCAAGGAGAGCAGGGCCGCAACGTTATGGCTGCAGAGCGGACCAGAAAGGAAAGCCCTGCCAGGATTCTCACAGGGCCAGGAACCAGAGCGGCAGGGCAGTCGTGTCTCCGTGTCTCTAGGGAGAGAGGGCTGTGGGTCCCAGGACCCATCCCTCGGGCCGCAGGGAACAGGAGCTGGCTTGCTGGTGATTGGGTGGGAAGAGGAGAGAGCCAGAGGGGCAGTGACCGACAGGGAAGGAGGTGGGGCTGCTGGTCTCCCCCCGCCCTACAGCCCCAGCCTACCTCGGCTTCTCAGCAGGAAAGCAGAGTTTCGGCCTGCGATCTCCTTCTGCCAATGCCTGGCATGGCCAGAAAGTTAGCCAGAAACACCAGAGCGTGCCAGGCAGCTGGGAGGCACGAGGAGAGCCCCCTGACGCTGCATGTATAGTGCCTGCTCCCACTGCCATCCCAGAAACAGGGCGAGCTTCACAGGGAAAACCCGGTGGACACATCCTGACAGTGGCAGACACACCGCCCCAGCCTGGAGAGGAGCCTCCTGAAAACAGCAGCCTTTGCTGCTTCTCCCAAGCGCGGGTGGAGAGACTGGCCAGTGGGGCAGTCAAGGCTGGCCTTCAGAGGGAGCACGGCACAGGGTCCAGTGTCACAAGGAGGTCCTCTGAACCTCAAGCCAGACCCCCCAGTGGAGAGGACACACACCCCCACCAGGCAGAGTGACGTTCAGTAAACTCTCAAAGACAACACAGAGCTCCGCTCCTCCAGCCAACCCCTACTCTGCCTCCAGCTCTACAAACCAGTGAGAAAGGCGGACTGCCCTTAGACCAGCACAGAGGCAAAGTCCAAAGACCTCAGGTGAGTCAAACAATAAAAACAAAAATTAAAAGAATCCATCCACTTAGTAGGAGAGCAAATAGACACTGAGGAGAGCTTCCATGTTGAGTGAAGCAGTGGCATGTATCTGGAGGCCGAGGTGGGAGAATGCTTCAAGGTGGCACGTGACCACATCCACGTCATTCAACAACAGAAAAACAAGCAGGGAGGGCGTGAGGGGCTGGCAAGGAACCTGGTGTGGAAGAAAACGCAATTGGGCTGAACGAGGTGGCTCACGCCTGTAATCCCAGCACTCTGGGGAGCCAAGGCAGGAGGATCACCTGAGGTCAGGAGTTTGAGACCAACCTGGCCAACATGGTGAAACCCCATCTCTACTAAAAATACAAAAAAAAGTATATGGGTGTGGTGGTGGGCACCTGTGATCCCAGCTACTCAGGAGGCTGAGGCAGCAGAATCACACGAACCCGGGAGGTGGAGGTTGCAGCAAGCTGAGACCACACCACTGCACTCCAGCCTGGGGCCGGCACAGTGAGGCACCATCTCAAAAAAAATAAACAAATAAATAATGAGTTAAAAAACACAACTGAAGAAACAGAAGAGGACTCCACAGGACTGTTTCCATCTTCATAGGAGCATGAATTCAACAGTCAGGAACTCAAATACTAGACGACCAACCTGCAGGATGGGAGGAAGATTTAAGAGCCAAGGAAACCCCAAAGCAGCACCTATGCTAAATTAAGTCAGAAACAGCAAAAGGCAGAATATCAAGTTACTAAGAGAGAAAAGCCTTGAGATAATTTCAGAGCAAGACAAAGTGATTAACACAATAATCTACTCATTTATTAACTGTTAAACACCCACTTCAAGCTACAGTCCACTCTAGGCCCTGGAGGATAAGGAGACAACGCCTATGCCTTCAGGGCACTTGTAGTCCAGCTGGGAGGGGAAAAGAATGAAGTGCATAAAACCAGGGCTCTGGCTCTGAAATCTCAACACTTTGGGCAGGCCACTTGAAGCCAGGAGTTCGAGACCAGCCTGGGTAACATGGTGAAAACCCATCTCTACTAAAAAATATAAACATTAGCTGGGTGTGGTGGTTCATGCCTGTAGTCCCAGGTGCTTGAGAGGCTGAGGTGGGAGGATGGCTTGGGCCTGAGAGGTGGAGGTTGCAGTGAGCCAAGACAGCACCTTTGCACTCCAGCCTGGGTGGCAGAGCACAACCCTGTCTCAACAACAGCAACAACAAAGTGATCTTAAGTCCAGCCAGTAAAGATGTAAATCAAAACAGACTTTGAGTGAGTCAAATACTGGCAGTGAGCTTTGCCCTTCAGGTAAAAAATGGCCTGCGGTGGGTGGGGGGGATACGGAAATGTCAGCGCCAGCTCCTCACCACTCACAGGCAGAAGTCAGCCTGTGCTGCCTCAGCCCAAGCCTGCTGTGCTGCTGAAAACCAAACACACCCATCTCTTAGTGCTTCTGTAATTTCTAAAAATAATCATCAGATACTTTTTTTTTTTTTGGAGACAGGGTCTCAGTCACCCAGGCTCGAGTGCAGTGGGGCTATCTCAGGTCACTGCAGCTGTGCTTCCTGAGGTCAATCAGTCCTCCCACCTCTGCCTCCCAAGTAGCTGGGACTACAGGCACACGCCACCACACCCCGCTAATTTTTCTGTCTTCAGTACAGATGGAGTTTCACCATGTTGCTCAGGCTGGTCTCGAACTCCTGAGCTCAAGCGATCTAACCACCTTGGCCCCTCAAAGTGCTGGGATTACAGGCGCCCAGCCATCATAGGAGCCTTTTAAAATTGAGTCGAAGTAGCATTCATCTGCTTTTAGCAATTTTTTTCTTTAAATATTTAAAAGTGTCTAAGTAGCAGCTCCACACAGATGTCTCCATTTCCATGCATCCTTTTATCTCGTACACATTTAGAAATATCTAGGATAACCTTCAGGTAATGTTAACAGCTGTTATTCCAGGGAGGACGCTGTGGCGAGTTTTGAAAGCTGTGTTCGATGCTGTATTAACAGTGAGCGGTGTTTCTCCAGCGGGGCAGCGCCGGGCATTGTCTGGTGCGCGGAGGAAGGCCGCGAACTACATCTCCCAGGCACCCCGCTCCCCGGTCCGCGCCCCGACCCGCGCGGCCCCGCGATGGTACCAGAGCGGCCTCCGCCCGGTCCGGAGCCAGCCGGTGTTACAGTTCGAATCCGGCGTGGGAAGTCCGGGGGACCACGCGGCCAACCCTGGGCGGGCTGCGAGCCGGAGACCGCGTCCCCGGGAGCCCCCAGACGCTGCCCGGCGCGGCCGCCCGTGGCGCTGCGGAGGCCTGCAGGCGGCGAGGCGCAGTTGCGGCCGCGGCGACGGCCTAAGCACCACACTGCTGCTGCGGGAATTCGGGGGCCCCACTCGCCTCCCAGCATCCTTCCTGCTCCCGAGACTGCTTCTCCCGCCCCCTGGATTCCGCGCGCCTCGGAGACCCTCCCTCCGCCATCCCCTGCAAGGTGGGCTTCCGTGCGCTCCCGCCCTCTTCTGCCCCAGGGCTTCTTGCCGGGCGCTGCGGGGTCCTGAGCTGCGCAGCGCGCCGGCCTCCACCCACCAGGTGTCGGCCGCCGCGGAGGAAGGCAGAACGGCCTCCCACAGAGGCTCTGAGCAGGCTGGGTTCAGAGGCAGAGAGCAAGGAAGGGCGCTAACAGTGCACCCGAAGGCAGGGAGGCGATCCTGGGTCTTCCAGGTGGGCCCAGCGTCACCACAAGGCTGCTTCACGATGCAGGCGGGAGGCGAGGAGAGGTGGGCAGACAGAGGCCCGGAGGGTCAGGAGGCCTCTTCGGTACAGATGGAGTACCCGCCAAGGAATGTGGGTGGCTTCCTGAGGCTGCAAAAATCAGGGAAACAGAGTCTCCCCTGGCGCCTCCAGAAGCAACAGAACTCTGCCAGCCAGCCCCTCACTCTGAGCCCAGAGATACCCATTTTGAACTTCTACAAAACTTAGCGAATTAATTTGTGTTGTTTTAAAACACTCAAAGCCGGGCACCAGTGGAACACTCGTGTAGCCCCAGCTACGCAGGAGCCTGAGGCAAGAGGATTTCTTGAGTCCAGGAGTTCAAGACCAGCCTGGGTGACATACCAAGACTGTGTCTCTAAAAAAAAAAAAAAAAAAAAAAAAAAAAAACAAGGCCGGGCGTGGCTCACACCTGTAATCCCAGCACTTTGGGAGGCCAAGGCAGGCGGATGGATCACGAGGTCAGGAAATGGAGACCATCCTGGCCAACATGGTGAAACCCTGTCTCTACTACAAATTAAAAAATTAGCCGGGCATTCGTGGCGCACACCTGTAGTCCCAGCTACTCGGGAGACTGAGGCAGAATTGCCTGAACCCAGGAGCGGAAATTGCAGTGAGCCGAGATTGCACTACTGCACTCCAGCCTGGGCAACAGTGTGAGACTCCATCTCAAAAAAAAGCCAGGTGTGGTGGGATGCACCTGCAGTCCCGGGTACCCAGGAGGCCAAGGTGGGGGTATTACTTGAATTCAAGACCAGCCTGGGCAATATAGCAAGACACCACCCCCCCACACACACACACACACAAAAGAAACAAAAACCAAATTTCCTGCATGTGTGGCAATTTTTATGGCAGCTACAGAAAACTAGTACACAGATCCCAGTTGTGACAAGCCAAGCAGTCTGCAGGCGCTGCCCCGTCCCAGCACCACCTCTGTGGGAGAGGCCTGTGCCTCTCAGTGCCAGGACCCCTGCCGCTGGCTGGCCCTGTGGCCACCTTATCCACCAGGAGGCCGGCTCTGCGTCTCAGCCTGAAGGAGGCCAGGGCTTTGCCTCTGCTGCTGCCTGGGGAAGGTGCTCTGCAGGGAGATCTCATGGAGCAGAAAGGTCAGCCTCCCCAGCGTCCCCAGCAGCCTCAGGAGACGCCCAAACGACAGCAGGAGAGCTGGTGGGATGATCCCAGCCCACCCCCACATCACAGCCATAACAACCAGGATCCTTTAAAGCCACTCAGCAACAGAGGATGGCCCAGCTCGTCACCCCCATGGCAACTGCTTACCTGTCAGCTCCACTCTGCCGTGCTTATGCCTCAGGGTGCAGGGCTCACCCACATCTTCCTGCCTGCCACAGAGCTCGGTCCATGGAACCCCATTCCCCACTTCATCATCAGGGGCCTCAGAGAGGGGGTCATGATGGCCCCAATGCCCTGCCTAAAACTCTCCCACATCCTTAAGGACACCTGCCGTCACCCCTGGAGAGTCTGCCCTCCATCCATGCACCCTAGGGCTCCTGAGAAATGCAGAGGATCCCTAGGGTGCACCAAATGACATTCAGAGGACTCAGGAGAGAAGGGGGACACCTGGCTGTGTCATCTTGGAAGGTTTCCTGAAGGAGGAGGGAATTTCACTGAGTCTTACAGTAAGAAGGGGAGACAGGCAGGTGCAGAGGATTCAGGTCAGGCCAGGGGTCCAGTGTCAGGGAAGCAGGGCTGGCAGAGCAGTTAGGTGGCTTCTCAGCAGCAGGAAGTGGGGGTGGGGTCCAGGTGGACAGCACAGCCAGCATGTGCTGTCCAGGCTGCCGCATGGGCCTGGCTCCTGCCCTCACCTGGGGCTCAGGAGTGATCACCTCTGCTTGCCCCGAAGCCTCTTCCACCCAGCCACCTCCACAGAAGCCCAGTCAGGCCCCTAACAGTCAAGGGTCCAGGGCCCTTTCCCCACTCCCACCCACCCCAGGCTGGGAACCCATGCTCACAGCCCTCCTGCCCTGCTTCCCAAAGCAGTCCCCCTGCAACTCAGTGTCCCCAAAATGCAGCTGCGACACACACCCCAGCTCAGGACCCTCCTGAGGACCCTACGGCCTGTAAACAAGGGAGTCACCCTGAGGGCCACAGCCCATAGGCCCCTGCTCAAGCTGGCTCCTCACAGTTGCCCAGCCCTCCTATGCAGGCTGCCCTCTTGGCCCTTGTCCACCACCCTCACCACCATCCAGAGGCCAGAGGGCATCTCCGTCTCCACAAAGCCTCCCTCTGTGCCGGGTACCACGTTGGACCCCCAGGCTTGCTGCTTCCCACCACAGCACCTCTGGGGGCCCATGTGCCCTGCTGGGTCTTCAGAGGCAGGAACCACTGTGAGACCCTGCCCCTGGAGAACTCTGCCTGGCCCATCTCACAGCCTGGTGCAGGCAAGTGCCCAGTTCCCCAGATCAGGCCAGCAAAGGAGCTGAGTCTCTAGGCAGCGCCTGCCAGTGGGGTCTCCTGGGACACCAGTGCACCCCAGGCAGGCCGAGGTGCCCTGAGGCCTCCTCCCAGCAGCCCAGAGGGCAAGCTCCTGCCACCCAGGCCTTGCCAGGGCCCCCCTAGACTGAGCTGGGGCAGTGCAACCTTCCCCTAGGTGGCCTCCCATGGCCCCTGGCCTGGTCCCCAAGGCCTCAGGAGCTGCAGGCTGTCTGGAGCCAGGTCCTGCCAGGCCTGTTTTACCATTGTAGATGGTTTTGACCCCCTGCTGGGGCACGAAGAAGGTGCAGAGGCCACCCCAACTCAGGGCCCCCAAGGAAAGGCACTAGCAGACAGACATTGGTCTGAGTCAGGCTCTTAGGAGTGGGGTGACCTTGAGGCCTGGGCCTTGAAAGTCACATTATGCCAGAAAGGGGCACTCCGGGCCAGAAAGGTCTGGAAGGCATTGGTGGACTCACTGGACCATGTCGGGTGGGGAAAGAGCACATCCTTGTCCACGTCCTCCGACACCAGCTGGGCCACAATCTGCACGATGTCCTGCAGGCAAGGGTGGGTCAGGGAACCTCTAGGGGTGGGAAGGGGACAAGGGTGCGGCCTGGGAGCGCCAGGGCAAAGGGTCCAGTGGGACTGAGCCGAGGCAGGGGAGGTGGAGGGAGGGCGAGGCGGGGCAGGGACAGGCAGGGAGGACCCACCCCCGCGCACCCTGCAGTGGTGTGGGCCCCCGGCGGCGCCCAGCCTCTCCCAGCCGCCCAGCATGGCCAGCCGCCGGCGCTCATCAATGCTGACACTCCAGTGGCGGCCCGGGCACCTGCGCTCCGGCGGCTCGCTCACCTGCGGGGACAGGGCAGTGGGTCAGCGCGGGCCTCGGCGCCAGCTCCCCTTCGCTGCCCCTAACCAGCACCCCCACGCCCTCAGTGCTCCCCTCCTCAGCGGCCAGGGGCCTTTCTAAAGCGCCATCTGCTCGGGCTCCCGCTGCTCCAGCGGCAGCTGGCCGTGTGGCCCTCTGTGGCTGATCTGTGCCACGATCCCCTCCACCCAGTACCTGCCCCAGTTCAGGTACAGCGGGGCTGCCCCTGGACCGGGAAGTCCTCACAGCCAGCGCCCGGCTTGGCCGGCAGGGGGACCCCCAGAGCTCCAGCAATCCTGTGCCTCAGGAAAGGCCAGACTTGGCCAGCTCCAGCCTGCCCTGACCCCTCTGAAATGATCATAAAGAGAGTTAGGGAGAAAATAAAGATCATGAGCCCATACAGACAAAAGATCAGTGCCAGTGGAGGAGGGCCCCTGGCAGAGTACAGGAGACTGGAAGGAGGGGGCCAGCTGGAGGAGCCATGGGAGGGCCACAGGAGAAGGCCAGAAACAGGTGGGGTCTCCCAGGATGACCCCGGTCCCCCAGGGAGGAACTTCCCATGTGGGCTGCATGAGAAGGTTCCTCCAGATTCTGCCCAGCCAAAAGCCCACCATCCCCCACCTCTCTCACCCATGGGAAGGCGGAGATGGGAGAGAAGGGAGTCCCATGCAAAAAGTGGGATGAATGCAAACTCAAGGTGAAGCTCTCACTCCCACAAAATCACACACAGAACTGCCGTGGGATCCAGCAATTCCACTTCGGGGTGTATGCCCAAAAGAGCTGGAGGCACGAAGACAAACGGATACACAAATCCGGATCTGGAATGTTCACAGCAGCTCTCATCATTCACAACAGCAGAAATGCAGAAGGATCCCAGGTTTCCACATGGATGAATAAAATAAATGTGCCAGATGCACAAAGTGGAATATTAAGTCTTAAAAAGTAAGGAGGGCGGGCTGAGCGTGGTGGCTCACGCCTACTGTAATCCCAGCACTTGGGGAGGCCAAGGCGGGAGGATCGCTTGAGGCCAAGAGTTCTAAACCAGCCTGCAAGACCCCATCTCTGCAGAAGACGTACAAGACTAGCCACGTTCAGTGGCACATGCCTGCAGTCTTAGCTATTGGGGAAGCTGAGGCAGAGACTGCTTGAACCCAGGAGGTTGAGGCTGCAGTGAACTGTGATTTTCCCACTGCACTCCAGCCTGGGTGGTAGAGTTCAGACTCTGAAAAAAAAGAAAGGAAGTGAGAAAGAGAAAGGAAGGAAGGAAGGGAGAAAGAAGGAGAAAATGTAAGAAAATTCTGGCTGGGCATAGCAGCTGTAATCCAAGCACTTTGGGAGGCTGAGGGGTGAAGACCACTCAATCCCCTTGAACACCCCAGGTGTCGGAGGCCACAGTGAGCTAGGACTGCACCACTGCACTCCAACCTGGGCGACAGTGCAAGACTCTGTCTCAAAAAAAAATTCTGAAGGGTCTAGGGCCTCACACAGCAGCACTGCAAGCTATAAGGCAATGGACAATGCCTTAAAATCCTGAAGGAAAATGATTTCCCACCAAGATTTCCACCTAACCAAGGCATCATCCAAGCTGACAGGCAGAATAAAGATTTTCACATCTTTAGAGTCTCAAAAACTTTCACATCCTCTGAACCTTTTTGGAGGAAGCTGCTAGATGTATTCTAGCAAAACAAAGGAGTAACCAAGGAGCACACGAGGGGCAGGAAACAAAGCTCCTGCAGACGGGAGGCAGGCGGATTGTGGGGCTGTCAGGGGAGGGAATGGGGGGCTGCGAAGGGGCCCTGACAGCTGGGCTGGCTACTGCCAGCCCAGGGCTCCAGCAAGGCCACTGCCCAGGAGAAGATGCAGCTCTAGACCTGATGTGTAGGGGTCTGTGAGAGGAGAGTCCCAGATTTGTTGGAAAGTTTGGGTAGGAATCATCAGTTCATAGAAAATGGAGAAGGAGGAAGAGGAGGAGGAGGAGGAAGAGGAGGGTAAACAATGGTTTCCTCCAGAAAAAAACAAGAGCAGCACAAAGGAAACACGGCCACCCAATGGTCATGATGCCACATGGTCACTGTAAAGCTCATAGTGGAATTGGGTTTCCTTTTTTTTTTTTTTTTTTTTGAGACGGAGTTTCGCTCTTGTTACCCAGGCTGGAGTGCAATGGCACCATCTCGGCTCACCGCAACCTCCGCCTCCTGGGTTCAAGCAATTCTCCTGCCTCAGCCTCCTAAGTAGCTGGGATTACAGGCACGCGCCACCACGCCCAGCTAGTTTTTTGTATTTTTAGTAGAGACGGGGTTTCACCATGTTGACCAGGATGGTCTCGATCTCTCGACCTCGTGATCCACCCGCCTCGGCCTCCCAAAGTGCTGGGATTACAGGCTTGAGCCACCGCGCCCGGCCTGGAATTGGGTTTCTGCTGAGTTGACAGAATGCTGGCAGAAAGATGGGGGTGGGGAGGGGCCCACCACCCGCTGTCTCCGTGTGGGGCACGGACGGACGGAACACCAGATGGAGGAATGAAAGGGGGCAGCAAAGAGGTACACGCGCACTACCCCCTCAGTGTGCAGTGGGGGCGCCTGCAAGCACTGAGAGTGGCTTTGGGGACTCCTGTTCTAAATATGTATGTGTATGTTTTTTTGTTGATGTTTTTTCATAAAGACGGGGTTTCATCATGTTGGTCAGGCTGGTCTTGAACTCCCAACCTTAGGTGATCCGCCCGCCTTGGCCTCCAAAGTGCTTGGATTACAGGCATGAGCCACCACACCCGGCCATGTATGTGTATGTTTTAACAAAAGTAATTTAAAGTTTAGAAAGTAAAGATGTAAGTAATGAGTGATCCAGCAGACACAGGAGAACATGCACAGAACTCCTGAACCTGCAGAGAATCCATGCTTTTACCAAACACACGCCACAGGCACGTGAACTGGCCACACTTCAGGCCACAGACGAAACAGACCCCAGTGCACAGATGCCCATAATACAGGGCTCTGCCACTACCAGCTGACACAGTTAGAAGTTAGCAACAGAAGGTAACAAAACGCTCCTATTGACATGGACATTCCGAAACACCCTTCTGATTACCTCCGGAGTGAAGAAGAAAATCAAGACTGAAGTGCCAACTTATTTAGAAACAAACGGTGGCAGAGTGCAGTGGCTCTTGTCTGTAATCCCAACCCTTTGGGAGGCTTAGGCAAGAAGCATGGCTTGACCCCAGCAGAGGAGTTCAAGACCAGCTTGGGCAACATAGGGATACCTCACCTCTACAAAAAATAATTAGCTGGGCATGGTGGCGTGCACCTATAGTCCCAGCTATTCGGGAGGCTGAGATGGGAGGATCACTTGAGGCTAGGAGTTCAAGACTGCAGTGAGCCGTGATGGTGCCACTGCACTCTAGCCTAGGCAACAAAGTGAGATCCCAAGTCTTAAAAAATTTTTTTACGGCCGGGTGTGGTGGCTCAAGCCTGTAATCCCAGCACTTTGGGAGGCCGAGGCGGGTGGATCACGAGGTCAAGAGATCGAGACCATCTTGGTCAACATGGTGAAACCCCGTCTCTACTAAAAATACAAAAAAATTAGCTGGGCATGGTGGCGCATGCCTGTAATCCCAGCTACTCAGGAGGCTGAGGCAGGAGAATTGCCTGAACCCAGGAGGCGGAGGTTGCGGTGAGCCGAGATCGCGCCATTGCACTCCAGCCTGGGTAACAAGAGTGAAACTCTGTCTCAAAAAAAAAAAAAAAAAAAAATTTTTTTTTACATTGGCTGGGTGTGGTGGCTCACACCTGTAATCCCAGCACTTTGGGAGGCCAAAGTGGGTGAATAGCCTGAGCTCAGGAGTTCGAGACCAGCCTGGGCAACACGGTAAAACCCCATTTCTACTAAAATATAAAAAATCAGCTGGGCATGGTGGTGAGCACCTGTAGTCCCAGCTACTCAGGAGGCTGAGGCAGGTGAATTGCTTGAACCCGGGAGGTGGAGGTTGCAGTGAGCTGAGACTGAACCACTGCACTCCAGCCTGGGCTACAGACTGTCTCAAAAAGACAAAAAATAAGAAATTAGCCAGACGTGGTGGCTGAGAAATGAACAATGAGAGCAGGACACACCAAACATGTGAGGTGTGGCCAAAGCCGTGCTCTGAGAAGCTACAGCTTTAAATACATCTTTAGAAAACGGTCCCCAAACCATGACCATGCAAATCATTTGAAAAGATAGAAAAAGAACAGCAAAACAAATGTACTGAAAGCTTAAAGATGAAATTAGGAAAGATTAATGAATAAATTAAAATTTTAAAATAATGAATAATGATCACAGGGGGTTCTTTGATAAACCAGTAAAACAGACTTCCTCTCTCCTTCCATCCTCAGCAGTTCCACAGAGATCTACCTTTATCATTTTTGCCAACTTTTCCCTTGCTGATGTTTCACTTCATTTAGTTCCCCGCACCCCCTCTTTTTTTTTGGACCTGCATTCTTTTTTTTCTTTTTTAATATACAGGGTCTCATTCTGCCTTCCCAACAGCTGGGACTACTAGAGGCACACCAGCCTGGCTAATTTTGTTTTTCTTTTTTTGAAACTGAGTCTTGCTCTGTTGCCCAGGATGGAGTATAGTGGCGCACTCTCAGCTCACTGCAACCTCCACTTCCTGGATTCAAGAATTCTCTGCCTCAGCCTCCTGAGTAGCTGAGATTACAGGCACCCGCCACCATGCCCAGATAATTTTTGTATTTTTAGTAGAGGGGGGTTTCACCATGTTGGCCAGGCTTGTCTTGAACTCCTGACCTCGTGATTCACCCGCCTCGGCCTCCCAAAGCACTGGGGTTACAGGCATGAGCCAGCAGGCCCAGCCCTGGCTAATTCTTTTATTTTTTGCAGAGGTAGGGTCTCACTATGTTGCCCAGAGTGGTCTTGAACTCCTGGCCTTAAGTGATCCTCCTGTCTTGCCCTCCTGAAGTGTTGGGATTACAGCGGTGAACCACTGTGCCTG